CTTTTGCTGCTTTTTTAAAATTTTAATCAATTTTCATTTCTCTCTCAGACTTTCCACACCCCGCCCCCGAGTCTGCCACCCCCCATTCCAGGCTTTTCAGAAACTATTTCATCTTTCAGTCTTTCCAATTTCCGACTTCCCCTGTTCACCTCTCTCCACACCTTTTTCTCTCTCTGCCCATGTGGAATCTTGCTGTTCCTGCCTGACTGTTATTCTATCTGCGACCCCCTCTCTCTGTCTCTCCATCACTAGCTCTCAATGACATCTGTCTTCTCTCCCTCGATTTCTGTCTGTCTGTCTGTCTGTCTCTCTCTCTCAATCTCTGTCTCTGTTCTTCACTCTCACTCTTCATGGGAAATGTGGTGGGATCGTCCTGTGCCCCGCCCCAACTGAGTCTTACCCCATCTTCGTTCTCTCTAAATTGAAATGGAGATGGGGTTGTTATGTAAATATTGAGGGAGGTTTGTATAGGGACTAGGGTCTTGCTGTGCCGAGAAAAGAGACAGAGAAAAATGGAGGCTAAAAACAGAGAAAGAAAGATGGAGGAAGAGGAGAAAGACAGAGGGAGGGAGGGGCCAAAGAGAGAGAAGGAGAATGAAATAAAAAGATACAAGCATCTACTTTGTGAGAGACAGAAACTGGGAAGAGAGAAAGAGAGAGAGAGAGACAAAGAGTGACAGAGAGCGAGACAACAGGAGAGACTTTGAGAGAAAAAGACAGGGACACACAACAAGCAAGGAGAGAGAGAGACAGGGGGAGGGAGAGGGAGAGAGAGAAAAGCCAGTCAGGGACAGACACGAGTTCAGGAAAGACAGAGTCTGAAGAGGTGATACTCACCATTGCTTTGGGTCCCAGCTCTGTCTCTCTCTCTCTCTCTCGATGGTTTCTCATACTCCCCTCTCTCCCATGAGGGACAGACTCTGCTTCTGGGCTTTGCTTCAGCCTGGTGCTGCTTCAGGGAGGGCGTGGTAAAGGTTCAAAGCTGGCATTGAGTTACCAGCTGTTCTCTCTTTCTCTGTCTCTCTCTCTCACCCTCGCGCGCTCTCTCTCACCCTCGCTCTCGCTCTCTCTCTCTCACACACAGGCACACAGTTATGAATACATTCTATTTTGCTCAAACAGCACACAATTTATAGACAGTCAGTCAATGCAATGTTTTTTAAAATTCCTACTTTAGAAATAAAACTAGTCTGACTTCAAACCAAAACACAAACAGATTCTGAACAAGGCCTCACCCCTAGTAGATCGTAAGAACTGCCAATGCTGATAAAACCTTTCGTTCTGGCAGGACAGTGATTTGTAAGGGATTTGGAGATTTACATATTCATATTAATTAACTAAAACCTTCTATCTGAAGATTTAACAGCATCACAGGTTTGTCAGTACATCCTGATCAGTGGTGTGACCCTTTGATCTTTTACTTATAAGCCCTGTGTCTGATCTCTTACTAACACCCGAAGAAGGAGTGAGGCTCCGAAAGCTGGTGTTTTCAAAGAAACTTGTTGGACCATAACCTGGTGTTGTGCGATTTCACAGATGGACATCAATTGATTACATGGATCTGTTGTACAAGTGGATGTTTGTTCATTGTACAAATGATCATGAGATTATTAAACACATTCACCTCCTCCCTGACAACAGCCAAGGGACATCACAGCACTGTCCCACATTCTCACTGACATTTCATCAGCAAGAGCTGGGAATTATCAGACTGACACCAAACATGGTTCAACTCAGGGCAGTGTCAGTTACTACACACAGAATCTGTATGTGTATGTTGTGTTTCTGTCTGTTTGTGTTACAGTGTCTGTATGTATGTGTGTCAGTGTGTCTGCCTGTGTGTGTGCGTGTTTCTGTTTGTTTGTGTGTCTGTATGTGTGTGTCAGTATCTGTTTGTATGTCTACGCCTCAGTGTGCGTCTGTGTGTTTCTGTCTTTGTATGTCTCTGTCTCCATGTGTACATATGTGTATGTATAAATGTGTGTCTCTGTAACTGTATGTGTGTGTATGTAAAAATGTGTATGTATCTCTCTCTGTGTCTGTGTATATATGTGAGCATAAATGAGTCTTTGTGCATCTGTTTGTACGTGTATGTGTAACTGTGTGTCTCTGTAACTGTGTGTATATGTTGGTGTATGTATAAATGTGCATGTGTCTGTGCATATGTGTGAGTATATATAAATATGTATGTGAGTGTATAAGTGTCTGTGTGTGCCTCTATGTCTGTGTGTAGGTCTAAATGTGTGTGTCTATCTCTGTCGAACTATCTGTGTGTTTGTAGCTGTGTGTGTGTGACAGCTAGTATATCTGAGTGTGTGTATTAGTGTGTGTCTCTATGTCTGCGTCACTGTGCAGTGGGATCTCTTGTTCTGAGGATGAATCCATTGAAATGGGGTTATCCTCCTTCTCCCCTTTCTCTCTGTCTATCTCTGTTATGTTTAAAGTTTTAAAATGGTCATGTTGATGTGTGCCATATGTGTGTCTCTCTGTGTTTGTGTTTGTGTATCCACCTCTGGCTGCAGTGGGACTCACTGGAGGGAAGTTTGAATGAATTAATGAATGAATTAATTAAAAAGTGATGAATCAAAGGTTCAGAATCTCTCCCCCCACCCCCAAACCACATCCCGGCCTGTGTTTAAAGTGATACAATGTCACCTTCTGGTGGTCTCCCCACGCCACTACACAAGCGGCGGATTTTTTTTTCTTGGGGAAAGCATCACAGTTTGTCAATCTCTCGGGTGACACAGTTGTTTCGTTCTTCAAACAATATCTCTGGAGACACAAAGCAGTTTTGTCCGATTGATGTTGCCCCTGAGATATGAGCAGAAAGAGAGACAAGGGGAGGCCTGTAGACGGTGACATTGTATCACTTAAAACAAAAGGGACAATCGGGAGTGAGACGTCGGGCCTTTCTCTCGCCATCCCCACAAACCACTCTCTCTTCTCTCTCTCTGTCTTCTTTCTGCCTCTCCCCCTCTGTCTCTCTGTCTCTCCCTCCCTCACTCTCTCCATCTTTCTCCCTCCCTCCCTCCCTCCATCTCTCTCCCTCCCACCCACCTCTCTCTCTCTGTCCCCTCTCTCTGGATCTCTCTCTGTCTGTCTCTCTCCCTGGACTCTGGCCCACCATTTGGAAAGCTCCTGTTTGATGTGACTGTGGTTGAACGCCACCTTCCTGCTGGAAGCTTCGGAAGGAGGGTGATAAATCTAAAAAGAGAAGCAAATTGGAGCTGTGAGCAAAGACAGCTAACATTAGAAGGAAAAGTGTCCGTGAGCAGCTTATTGTTGAGAATGTGATGCTTGAGAGCACTGTCCACTTCCCTTCCATTATTTCACTGGCGATTAAAAGATTGGATGCAAATTGACTCGACCGGGCTTTTTTCTATCTTTTGTGCCCAGGCCATTGCTGGGAAATTGCCCACATTGCTGGATAGATGCCAGTGTTGTAGATATACCGGCACAGATTGGACCTTGGCCAGGCCAGTTCTGCAACACGACCCTTCAGTGTTATTGCTGGAAGGTTGTCAGCGCCTACAGCTTTTGTAATATCCAGTTCCTACAGCCGTTTCCTGATATTACATGGAGTGAGTCAAATTATTTCAAGACTGACATCTGTGACACTGAAGTTCTCAGGAAGAGGCCACGATAAGAAGATACAAAAGGTACGCCTGTGTGATCTGCCTGTACTACAAGCAAAGCAAAACTTTCCACTGTATCTAGGTACGTGTGACAGTAATAGATCAAACCAAATCGAAACAAGGGGGCAGCAACTTCTCATTGAGAATGGAAGCAAATAGTTCTGCCTTGTTGGTGGAATGATGTCTATGTTCCCTCAGCATTGACTCTGGGAATATTTATGGAGCTGTCTCCTCCTGTTACTGCTCTAATTGCCCACCTCCATTCACAGCTCCATTCGGCAGGACTGCACAGCTCAGACCGATCAGCTGTTTGGGTGTACTCTTAGCTGTGTCAATCACAAGCTGCTTTCACTGTTTGTCCTTCAGCTGCCACAATGTTTAATCCCACCAGATTGACAGACTCAGTCTTTTCTGGTGGCAATGGCCTGTGGACCAACACCTCTAAATTTCCCCCAGCAGCGGCCTGTGGTCCCATCTCACACTGTTCCACAGGCACCGACCTTCAGCCCCAACACCACACGGTTCCCCTGGCAAAGGCCAGGGATCCTACACCCACTTTGTTCCCCAACCATCAGGCTGCTGCACCACCACTGCACTGTCCCCTGAGCAACAGGCTGTGTCCTCACCCACAGTATGGTCCCGAGCAACATCCTGTTGCCCCAAACCAAGCTGTTCCCCCAGCAATAAAAGATGAGAGAGGATTAGACGAAGAGAGGCATGGAGGGTGTGAGGAAACTGACAGAGAGAGGGAGATTGGGAGGTAGAGAGAGTGTAAAAGGCAGAGAGAGTGAAGGAGAAAGGGGAAGAGAGGGACAGTGAAAAAGAGGGAGAAAAAGCATGAGGAGACAGAGATCGAGGGACGTCATGGTTAGATTCGGTGGGAGACATGGAGTTAGATGGAACAAGGGGGAGAGATGAATTCTGTCGAGGCCACGTCGGAGTGGTGACCCAGAGGTGAACGCAAGGACAGAGTGACTTAAACACAACTCCTGAGCTCAGCCCCGATTCCCATCCCCTTCCCTGAGGACCAGGACCTGGGCCGAATCTGTCTTTGTCCAGCTCAGTTTCTTTAATACAAAGACAAACAATAATATAGTTCACTCTGCTGCTTGGCACTTTTTAATGAACATTTTTATTAATTACAAATTGCAGTTATAAGATACAGTCAGTGGAATGGTGCCTTTTCTCACTGGCTCCTCAGTTGAGAGAAACATTGAAATGTGTCCCTATAACCCGCTGTGGGATAGGTTTGGACAAACCAACACTAGTCTCAGTCTGTTACTATAGCGACAGGCTGCTTCATTGCTGAAACATTGAACTGAAATGAGAAAATACTGGATGGATTGATTAATGAGTGAATTTGATTGATTGATGAATTTGGGTAAAGGGATATTTCAGCACATTCTTCAGCTGCTGCCTGAACTTAGTCTGGGTCACAGCATAAATCGCGGTGTTTGTGCAGCAACTGAGGAGCTGCAGCATGAAGCCCAATTCCTGCACAAACCAATCTAGATACACAGATTTATACCCAATCCACCACATCCGGTACCATATAGAATACACCATTAACATTGACCATAATACGATGAAATTGGCCGAGGTCACAAACAGTAAAATGATGGATTTTTTTCGATTTTGCATTTCAGTGTCACACTGACCGTCCCCATTGGTGTGAGCCCGGAGTCTCCTGCGGGCTCTGCTAGTCACTAAAATGTGTCTGACGGTGAAAACATTGAGCAGCAGAATCAGGAGAAATGGGAGATTCGGGGTTAGAATGTTGTGGAGGAACTCGATTGTGAGCCAGACACGAGAGAATGCAATATCGTCTGTTACATCACAAAACCAGGGCTGGTTCGCTAGCCAACAGTGAGCTGTGAACATAAAATACCAGAAAATGTTCTTTAAACAGCTCAGCACAGTCACTGTTCCCAGAACCACATCCGCCGTTTTCTCACTGCAGTATTTACTTTTCAGCTTCTGGCAACAAATGGCCACAAATCGATCAAAGGTGAAAGTGACGGTGAACCAGACAGAACAGTCAGTGGCTGCATAAAGCAGGACGGCGTGGATATTACACGCGGGCATGGAATACAGGAAATAAAACTGTTCCCGATAAACAATGGGAATGTGTCTCAATATCAGGTCGAGGATAATGACTAGTACATCCGCCACTGCCATGGCCCCCAGGTAACGTCTGACACATGGAGACAATCCACAATCTTTATAAAGCAGGATGCAGATTGTCACTACATTAACTGTGAAGAAAGAAAATAAACAAATCAGAACAAACAAATTATACATCAGCCTGGAGGCAAAGTTATCAGTTTGATTGAGGACAAAGTGAGAATTTCAGATGATTCAGAGATATATTGCAATGTTTGGAGGTGAAGTAACAAAACATAATGTCTCAATTTCTTATAAAATATAACATAAAATGGGATATCTTGCTTCAGGAATCTTAACTTTTGTTCAAGTAACTTACGTCCAGCCATTCACAAATAATGTCGGTTTTTGAATGTTCCGGAGAATGTTGGTGATAGAATGTGATGGAGTCATAAAGAGCCACATCACAAAGGCCCTTCTGTCCATCAGTTTTGGTGAGATCCACTCAGCCTCGCGGTGGAAATCTCTCCCCAAACTCAACTCAACTGGCTCTTTGCACGAAAACGCAATAAGATTAAGACAATACCTTAATCATTCGATGTCAGATCCTCTTATACGATCGTACATATGCCATCCCTTATCCGGAGATCTCTCCCAGCTCCTTTCAAGTTTTGTATGACACTCTCAAACGTAAATTATTCTGTATATTCAGTTGCCAATACTGGTCACTCTGTCACCATGTCTCTATTGCTATCAAACCATATCCATTTACCTCAATGCATACACTTAGTTCCTCAATCTTTGTTGAGAATACGGCACTCATTCAGATAGTTTGCCTTTCATTCAGCTTTTTAAACCATTATTCCCTGTTCCATTGCCCCCTTTATTTCTCAGGAGACAGACTGACATCGTCATACTCACAGAATCAGGCCTAATGTGTAATGTTTCATGAAGCACCGCCAAGACCGTGGGTATACCCTTTCCCAACGGCAGGACAGACCCACCAGTGGTAGTGGCACCGTGGTATACAGTCAGTAAAGGGGTTACGCTGGAATTTCCTGACATTGATTCCAGAACCCAAGAAATCTCATGGTGACAGTTCAAAGATGGCCAAGGAAACCACCTGATGATGGACATCTACGGCCCTCTACACAACCACTCGGTAATAAATCAGTTTGCCAAATGAGGCCAATCAGCCATTCGAGCCTGCTACTCAGCAATTGGAGCAGATCTTTTAATCTCTCATGTATGTTACACAGGAAATGGAAGGGAACATTCAGCCTTTCAAGCTGCTAAGAGGAATACAGGGAGCGCTGGTTTATGAGCTGGAAACAGGAATAAATTGGGGATAAATTGGTCTTTACCAGTTTAACATAAAATAACGACTGCAGGCGCACAGTGACCAGTGCTGGGTTCTCAATTATTTGCAACAATATCATTGGATTAGACAAGTGGAACAAATGTATTCTAACTAAATTTGTCGATGACGCTAACATAGGCAGGAAACGAAGTTATCAAGTGGAGGTAGTGTAAATAGATGGACAACAATTTGGAAGATAGAATACAACGTGGGTAACTGTGAACCTGTGACTTTTTCTGGAAGAATAAAAGGCTGTGTATTACATAAATGGAGAGAGATCAGACTCCACCAGTCTCACTACTGCATGCAGCATCTTCTCTCTCTCTCTCGCTCTATCTATCTATCTCTTGCCTCCACTATTCCCCTACACTGAAAGCACTGCATGGATTCAGCACTCTCAACTGATTCACTCCGGACACCTCACTATTTCCCCTCCCCCATCTATACCTATACCAGCACTAACAGCAGGACCATCCACCTTCACCCTCAATCCCTCCCTCCCTTTCTCTTATTCCAGGAGAAACAGCCTGGAAAAGGGCCAAGCCGGGTGGTGGAGTTCCCAACATCAGTTCCCTCAACCCCTCCGCTGCCCCCTCCCTACATCCCAACCCCTCCCCTCGCCATGTGGAGCGGACCCTTGTACGGCCGGCAAGAACAGGGATGATTCATGTGGAGATTCCAAAATATCTGTGTCCCACCAACCGAGTAAGGAGCAATGTTCAGTGAAGGACAACTCTCACTTTCAACCCAGTCTCAGTTCCGTTTCCACCTGGCACAGCTTAGAAGCCGTGCCACCGATGCCATTTCCCTTTTATATTGAGCCGGTACAAATGGAATCCCCACGGTCTCGGTGGGCAGGAGGGTGGGCTCACAACACATCGTCTCCACCAGCTCCCAGGAAGGGAGCACGGAATCTCCCTCCTACACCTCCTCCTTCAGACAGCTCAGATACTGAAACTAATCTGCAATGTTTACTGCTCTCCCCCCTTGTCCTGACATCTTTAGTAATCAAGCATTGAAATTGTCAGAGTCACAGTTCCCATGGAACAACTGAAACCCTGTCACACTCACTAGTGTGAGCAAGTGAAATACTGATATACTCCCACAGAGTGAGTCAAACAATGATATGCTGTCAACAGAGCTACAGAAATCCTGACACACACCAGATGGACAAAATGATATAATAACAAACCACGGAGAAAGAGAAATCCTGATAGGCTCCCCTTACCTGTGTTAGTTTCGATGTGTCTGTGTGTCTCTGTGTGGGGCTGGTCTGACAGTCTCTGTGGTGTTTGATGTGATGCAATGCCACCCTCTGCTGGCTTCCACACGCCACTGCACAGACAGTGGCCGAGGGTGAAAACGATCAGGGATTCATTCAGCGAGGGAGAGGTGGTGGGCAGCAGCTCACATCACCATCCAAATTGAGTTCTTATTCATATACTTATCTAAATGTCTTTTAAACGTTGTAATTCTACCCACTCCCAATACTTCTTCTGGAAGTTCATTCCATACACGAACAACTCTCTGTAAAATAATTGCCCATCATGTCTGTTTAAAATGTTTACTCCTCAAAATTTAAAATATCCCCATAGTCTTGAAGTCCTCCACCCCCAAGAAAAGACAACTGACATTCAAATTATCTGTGCCCCTCATGATTTATAAACCTCTATCAGGTCACCCCTCAACCTCCTCCGCTCCAGTGAGAAAAGTCCCAGCCTATCCAGCCTCTCCTTATAACTTAAACCATCCATTCCCAGCGACATCCTGGTAAATCTCTGTTGAACCCTCTCCAGCTTAATATTATCCTTCCTATAACAATGCGACCAGAACAGGACACA